TTGGGCTGTCAGCTGAGCTGCGCGCGATAGAACCGTCTCGCAGGCTGGCCAACGCATGTTCCAGAATACTCTGAGGGTGTTTTGTTTTTCTAATAATTTCTTTTTCTCTGTTATTTTTCTATAGAGATTCTGCTAATTTGAGAGATTCTGCTGATTATACCAGTCAGGGCAATGACTTTTATAATCATTAAATTGTGTTGCTCATGGTTAAAATAAGGTAAAGGGGATTATATTCGATGCGTATAGGTATAGATATATATACATTTACGTAAGTACTTATAAGTACTTAAAGATCTATAAATAATATTAAATTTAATTTTTTTTTTATTCAATATTATTTTTATCCATATTTGTATGAGTAGTACTTATATACAACATTGATTTATTATATTCTAACGTATCTATCAAAATTATTATTTTCTTGCAAAAACAATAATTGTATTTAATACTAATCGTTTTGATATAAAAGATTATTGCAATATAGGAAAATATTAGAAATGACCTTTAATTTATTACTATTAGTCATAATGATTAGTGAAACGTGACAAACAACGAAGATATTCATTCATAATTCGATAGTTATGCGTTGCAAGTAAACTTCCGTTAGAAACGTACTTTATTACCGTATCATAACTTAACGTATTATTTTCTTCGCGCGCACTTGATTAAACTCGGCTCTCAATAGTGGTGGGGCTTGCGATCAAAAACCTCGCTATCATTTATCACTCTGTCGCTGGTTCGTTGTACGTGCGTGACCTACGCAATTCAACTTTGCTTTTTCTTGAATTCTTTTTAGACATATTTTTCATAATAATGATTACACAATATGAAAATAATCAAAAAAAAAAAGGCATATTTTAACTGTACGTTATAAAATATACCGAACATATTAATATATTTTAAAAAAAAAGTTAATTTTTTGTTTTCTTATCTAGTAAATATTTCTTAATATTTTTTTCTTTTTTTTTAAATCGATCAGAATAAATTAAATCACGTTACTGTTTTTTTTTTCTGCTGATTTCACGGAACGATCCCATGTGATGCTTCGCTATAGATTGGATTATATTCTTTATCTAGAACATATATCCCAAACTATTCGAAGTTTTTGTCATGCGCCATTAATTTATTTGTCCAGTAATCATTGCGTGGAATAAGAATAAATAAATATAAATTTCATTCACTGATCCATAATTATAATAATAATTAATTAAAATAAATGTTGATCAAATCGAATATTCGTTATAATAGATGGATATTTACATTTTATTACGATGCCTAAAATGCATCATTTTTATATTAATAAATCGAATTCAAATTTCATAATTATTTTAATATATTTTTAATATATTTTTTTTATATTTACTATCTATAATTATAACAAGAATGAAAAAAATAATATTTTCAATCTGTGCATCGCTCTCGCTTTGCGCATCATCAAGCGAATGTTTTTGTTTGATTTCACTTGCAGTTGACGAACCAATAATCGAAGCCATACATATACATAAATATACTGCGAATATACTGCGAATAGATAACACATATATATGTTCTATATGTTTATTCGAGCCTGGAATATATACATGCACGCAAGAAAAAAAAGCTGTAGAAATGGAATAAAGATGGAAGAAAGCTCTGACCAACAACGAATTTTAATAAGAAAAAAGCTATTGACTTTATGATTATCGATTTGATAACGTTTTTTTTTATAATATATTTCAAATAAAACGCAAGAATTCAAGATTTACACTTAGATTTCACACTATTACAATATTCTATTATCTTGTTTCATTAAATATAATAAAAATTTTCGCAGCAAAAAATTAACTTACTATCATTATTGTTATTCAGGGATTTGAAAGTATGATTCATTCGTTCTTATACGCATATATTCAACATTATCTACTAGTATATTACGCAATTCATAATATTTACAAATTCGAATGTTTTCCCTTTTCGTTATTAGTTAAGATTTAACGTCTTCAGTTAAAATATTTCATATACATAAACATTTATTGATTAAATTTTCATAAGACTTAATAAAAGTAGTATCAAACAAGAAAAATTTTTTTTAATGATTTTGTTTTATTTTTAAAAAATGAATTTGATCTATATCCATCTAACATAACTAGAAAAATGTTCTTAGCAACTTGTTCGTCCTTATCGTGGTTCGTTTCTTTCTGCATGGAACCGTTATATTGTATATAATTACTCCCGTTGCGTGTGCATGCTATCTTGCCTGTGATCCAACAATCTTGGCTCTTTTAGACATCCGCGCGAATTATTTATAAAACGACTGTGCACCTTACTGTATGGAGAAGTTATCTGCATGCTAAGCAAGAACACTCCGTTGCTTGTCGCTCAGTCCCGCCGCCACGGAGTGTAATGTAAAACTTGTTGCGAAGAAAACGTGCGACGTCTTTAGAGTCATTGTTCTCTTTCTCTCTTGTAGGGGGGAATACACAGACACACACATACGATAACACTAGGCAATCGCGTGCATGCCGCTTCTCCCGTGTGGACTTGTGCTTGAGATTTCTTAGCTACCGCGTGGATAGAATATTTTCAAATATTTTTTGATTTCTGCAATTTTATATTTATCGTAGCATTGGTTGGTAATGTTCTTTTAGTTTGTGAGATAAAAAAAACAAATTTATAGCTATTTTTTGTAAAAATAAATGTCTAACT